CTCATTTGATCCTCACAGAAGTGCTGGAGTAGGTAGATAGGAGACTTGGTGGAATCCTATTTTCTTTTCATTAGCCGGAAAATGGAGATTAAAAAAGAAACTTGACCCGACTGAAAAGAAGAAATGGTGGACCTTGAAAATGACTTCAGGTTTTCTCACTGTGCAGAATATAGTCAAACACTGCTGCAGTTAAATATTTCACACTTTGTTTTCCCTGCGTGATCTACAATAATAATCTGCTTCGTGTTGATATTTACTACTGTGTTGCTGACAATTACCTGAAAGAGAAGTTGGGGTGCTTCACTGGGCTGAAAAAAGTTTAGCTAAATCAGAAAGCTGGTCTAATTAAGCAAGTTTATTCTCTATATACAAAAGGCTAAGTTGACTTTCACATGTGCAATACATATAAAGCTCTCACTGGTGCCAATCACAAGTGTGTGTTTCAATCTGTCATTGTCGATCGTGAATTTGGTTGACACTTCTATTATAGAGAAAGGGCGAATAGCGATATTAAAATATTTATTCTAATTAATTTCCTTTCAATGTGCATGAATCCATGCACCGGGCCACTAATTTATACATAAAGATCTGCTGCCCTGAGTGAAGTCTCTAGGATTATTTACTTGTAGGTAAGTTTTAGAATGAGAGCAGGGTTAGAAATCAGACCGCCTAACTAAAATCCTGTGGCTATAAATCCAAAGGAATTTGAGTAAATGCATTTATCCAATCATCAAATTATAGAAAATTAAAGCAAGAAACTTTTAAGCCTGAATATGAACATTGGGAGGATCAAAGGACCAGTTGTGGATTTGGCACTAAACATAAAACCGTTCAATACCCGGCAGCCTTCTTGTTGCCTCCATTTGTAGATGTAAATGCTAAATCACTGCTCAGGAACCTGAGGGATTACAGATTTTACAACAGAACACAGACTGCAAGTCAAGATATAATGCCAAAGGTCAGTTAATTGCATGCTTAAATTTTTTGTGTCACTCACCACTAACACTGCAGACAGAATATTAAAATCTTTGCAACACTAACTGTGTCAGGGTTCCCAAGACCACTTCCAGTTCAGTGATTCACTGGGAAGACTCAGAGGACCAGCATTTGGTTGTATTCATGGCTATTTGTTATAGGAAAAGGACACAAAGCAACATCAGCAAAGGAAAAAGGCACATGGAGCAAAGTCCGGGAAGACCAGCAGTGAGCTTCCAAGGGCCTTTTCCCAGCGGAATCTCATAGGTCAGACTTAATTCCCCAACAGCTGTGATAACACCTGTGAAATGCTATCTGCCAGGGATGCTCATTAGTGACTCAGTGCCTGGGGTTTTTACTGGGCTGGCCACATAGGCACCTGCCAGGCATTTACCCCAATTCCTCCCAGAAGGCAAGCAGATATTCAACATAAATATTACTGTCTGCACAAACAGTTCAGGCCCAGAGACATTATGGTGGAAACCCTACTCAAATCTAAATTCCCAGAGGCTAGCCAAGAGCCAACCTTACAAGCAGGCCTGTCTAACTAAGGACAGTTGTCTCAGGCCCACTGTGATACCTCATTTTGTACACTGTCCTATTTCAATTCTCTATATCATATAGGACCAAACTACAGGAGAAAAGGACTTTCTCCAGCAGGTCACCTAGGTACATCATGAGCCTGAGAAGCATTTTCATCCTGTGTTTTCAGAATTTAAAATGGAGCATTTTTAACATGAACAAGCATTATTTTGAATTACATAATAGAAGATTTAAGATGGCCTTTAGTAGTCCACTTGTACAATAAAAACAGCCAAATTCTATGCATTTTCTTCTTTAAAAAAAGAAGCACCACTGAAAACTCTAACAAATAATATTCCTATATTGAAACTCCTGAGACACCATTTAACCTACCAGACTGGCAAAGATCCAGTCCCTGGACCGTTCCTCTCACACATTCCTAGCAATGCTGAGAATAAGAAAAACCCCCTCTGGGAGGCAATTTGATATTATCTATCAGAAGTATACACAAACCTTATAACTTGTGATTCTACTTTGAAAATTTACACAGATATCATTGCATACATGCTGAATAACCTATGTGCAAAGTTATTTACTGCAGCATTGTTTAAGAGCAAAGGATTGGCCACAACCCAAATGCCTATCAATAGGTCACTATTTAAATTGTGGTACATCCATACAATGGACTACTCTGTAACTGTGGAGAAAAACAAAAAAAAGAATGAGGAAGCTCTCTTAGTACTAACGTGATGAATGCTCCTACATACACTAGAAGACATATATTGCAGAGAGGTATAGTTTGTTATCTTTTACTTTATGAAGGGAGCCAAGATGAATTCATAGTCACATTTGCTTGTCTGTGCATGGAGAAACAGGCAGGATGCATTAGACACTGGCAATGGAAGCTGGGAGGGGATGGTAGAGGCAGAATTTGGGCAGAATCTGCAAACCTGAAAAAAATGTATTGAAATAGTATACTTGAGAAGTAATTCCTCTTTCTTTCCTAAGCCCAACCTGGCATCTTTTTATTTGTTGTTTTAATAGGCTTCTATATTTTTGCAATGATTAATCTAGAGCAGTGGTTCTCAACCTTCCTAATGCTGCGACCCTTTAATACAGTTCCTCATGTTGTGGTGACCCCCAACTATAAAATTATTTTTGTTGCTACTTCATAACTGTAATTTTGCTACTGTTATGAATCGTAATGTAAATATCTGATATGCAGGATGTATTTGCATTGTTACAAATTGAACATAATTAAAGCATAGTGATTCATCACAAAAACAATATGTAATTATATATGTGTTTTCTGGTGGTCTTAGGCGACCCCTGTGAAAGGGTTGTTCCACCCCCAAAGGGGTTGCGACCTACAGGTTGGCGACCCACAGGTTGAGAACCGCTGATCTAGAGCATAAGGTTGCATTTATCTTGTTTTCCAAACCAGGTTCTAATAATGTTTTCATCTTGGGTCTGGCTGCCATTTTGAAGGGGGTTCCCCAAGACACCTGGGAGTGAGTCAAGTTCTCTGCACCTCCCTTCTCTCATGTGTTTGCTGAGGACATTCGGAAGCTTCTTTAAAGCTCCACGAAAGCAGGGAGTTTGCTTTGTTCACTGCCTTGTTCTCAACACTAAAAAGTGCCAGGCACAGAAATCATTCAGTAGGTATCTGTAGGATAAATGAATTCTGTTCTTTGCCCAGCTGCAATGGGACAGACACCACCAGACAAAGGGAGAGACATCATTGGGGTCAAACATTTAGAAATGGTTGTCATTCCTAGTATCTGCCTGATATAGGGATTCAAATCCCAGCAACATTCCTAGAATTATTTTGAATTTTACCGAAGACAAATAAGCCTATAGAATGTTGTGCTGAACAGTAACTCTTAAATATTCATAAAAATTTCTTTTTGATTAACTTGGAATTATAAGGCCCTGGAGTGCATCTTAGGACTGGTCTTTTTAGGCAAACACCACACTAATTAGTAATGATGAAAAAAAATGGCTATCGTAAGACTCAAATGAGCCCCAGTCATAAGGGGCTTATATATGTAGAGGAGAGAAAATATTTTGCATTAAAAATGCAACTGATATTTTTATTTTCAAGAATAAAATTATCATTGAAATTAAATCCAAATTGGTATAGACAGTGAATTGACTTGCAAATGTCAATCACAAAAGAGAAAACCTCCTTCCTCCTTAATGGACATGGAATGGATGTAATTACCACTCCGTTTTAACCTTGGTTTAAATAACTATAAAGCAGAATGATTTTGCTAGTAATGATTGCAGTAAAGTTGCTGAATAGGTGCAGAGTTGATTGATGCTTCTTTGAAGATCTTTAGTACCACAAACTTTTTTTAAAAAATAAATTTTTACTGATTTCAGAGAGGAAGGGAGAGGGAGAGAGAGATAGAAACATCAATGATGACAATTACTGATCGGCTGCCTCCTGCACACCCGCTACTGGGAATCAAGCCCAAAACTGGGGCATATGCCCTGACTGGGAATAGAGCCATGACCTCCCTGGTTCATAGGTTGATGCTTAACCACTGAACCACATGGCCAAGCATGACTAACTTTTCTTAATGCACAGCTGAGGCAGTTACTTAGTCTAGGGGGTCTCTCTGAGGGAATGTTACTTAAGAGGATAATAATGGGGGGGGGGGGGGGTAATCCAGCCTTCCCTCACAGGCTCACCTTCTCACATGGAACAAACCAGCAGATAAACAAGAAGATTGTGGTAAATGTCACCTAGAGAAGTCAGTCAAATAAGACCAGGGCTGATGTGACTGATTTAGAGCAAGCAGTCAAGAGGTCTCTCTGAGGGAACGTTAAGAGGATAATTGGGGGGGTGGGGGGTGGTCCATGGAAGAACAGCACTCCAGGCTAAGGAGGAGCTGGTTCAAAGGCCCTGAGCAAGAATGAGCCAGGTAGGTGCAGAAGAACCTCTTGGCAGTAATGGGAAGAAGTCAGAACATTTTGGTGTTACCTCTATTTCTCTTGCTGGCATTTAGGACAACAATCCAATGATAAAGGAAGCAGCCATGTACCCGATTTCAAGCACTCAAGGAAGCTTGAAATCTAAGCCTCTCCTGAGAATAAAATAGACATTCTCATTGCTAAGGCATTTATGAAAGAAATTTCTTAACTGGAAAACAGAAGCTAGCAGAGAAGTTGCAGGACAATTGGGAGGCAGCCAACCTTCCACTGATGCAAATTATATGTATGACATAGTGCCAGGAAGCCCCAAACCTACTGTTTGCAGATGGTGCCAAGCGAATCCCACCCTGGTCCTCACAGCAGTTGACACTCTGTCTCACAGCAGATCCTTTCTACGAAGAGTGGTGTGGGGCAGAGGAGGGTAGCTCTACAAGGTGGAAAAAGTGAGAGGTTAAATAACGATGATGCTTTATGGTTATGTTTTGTTGGTTTCCTGGGGGTGGCGGTGAAATCAAGAGCTATCTTCCCCCAGGAAGACACAGGCGCTAACAGGTACCAGCATCTCAGGAGGAGAAAAGCAACTTGGCCGTTCATCCCATGGACATCTCCTTACTACACGACAGACCCTGTTTGGAGGTGCAGCAGGAGAGGAAGGCACATTCCCTTCCCTCACAGGCTCACCTTCTCACATGGAACAAACCAGCAGATAAACAAGAAGATTGTGGTAAATGTCACCTAGAGAAGTCAGTCAAATAAGACCAGGGCTGATGTGACTGATTTAGAGCAAGCAGTCAAGAGGTCTCTCTGAGGGAACGTTAAGAGGATAATTGGGGGGGTGGGGGGTGGTCCATGGAAGAACAGCACTCCAGGCTAAGGAGGAGCTGGTTCAAAGGCCCTGAGCAAGAATGAGCCAGGTAGGTGCAGAAGAACCTCTTGGCAGTAATGGGAAGAAGTCAGAACATTTTGGTGTTACCTCTATTTCTCTTGCTGGCATTTAGGACAACAATCCAATGATAAAGGAAGCAGCCATGTACCCGATTTCAAGCACTCAAGGAAGCTTGAAATCTAAGCCTCTCCTGAGAATAAAATAGACATTCTCATTGCTAAGGCATTTATGAAAGAAATTTCTTAACTGGAAAACAGAAGCTAGCAGAGAAGTTGCAGGACAATTGGGAGGCAGCCAACCTTCCACTGATGCAAATTATATGTATGACATAGTGCCAGGAAGCCCCAAACCTACTGTTTGCAGATGGTGCCAAGCGAATCCCACCCTGGTCCTCACAGCAGTTGACACTCTGTCTCGCAGCAGATCCTTTCTTCGAAGAGTAGTGTGGGGCAGAGGAGGGTAGCTCTACAAGGTGGAAAAAGTGAGAGGTTAAATAACGATGATGCTTTATTGTTATGTTTTGTTGGTTTCCTGGGGGTGGCAGTGAAATCAAGAGCTATCTGACCCTGCCCCCAGGAAGACACAGGCGCTAACAGGTACCAGCATCTCAGGAGGAGAAAAGCAACTTGGCCATTCATCCCATGGACATCTCCTTACTACACGACAGACACTGTTTGGAGGTGCAGCAGGAGAGGAAGGCACATTCCCTTCCCTCACAGGCTCACCTTCTCACATGGAACAAACCAGCAGATAAACAAGAAGATTGTGGTAAATGTCACCTAGAGAAGTCAGTCAAATAAGACCAGGGCTGATGTGACTGATTTAGAGCAAGCAGTCAAGAGGTCTCTCTGAGGGAACGTTGTTAAGAGGATTGGGGGGGTGGGGGGTGGTCCATGGAAGAACAGCACTCCAGGCTAAGGAGGAGCTGGTTCAAAGGCCCTGAGCAAGAATGAGCCAGGTAGGTGTAGAAGAATAGAAAGGCCATATGATCAAGGAGTAAAGAAAGGCACAGGGCAGAGGCCAGGCCACCCAGGGCTTTGCACAGAGGCAGAGGGACCGGCTGCATACAGGGCAAACAGGAGACTACCTGTATACATCTGTCGCCTTCAAACCAAATGGAGGAAGGTTCCCTTTGAAATATATACAGCTGCTGTGGCAGTGGTTCTCAACCTTCCTAATGCCGCGATGTAAGGGCAAACAGGAGACTATCTGTATACAATCTGTCGCCTTCAAACCAAATGGTGGAAGGTTCCCTTTGAAATACATACAGCTGCTGTGGCAGGGGTTCTCAACCTTCCTAATGCCTCGACCCTTTAATACAGTTCCTCATGTTGTGGTGACCCCCAACCATAAAATTATTTTCGTTGCTACTTCATAACTGTAATTTTGCTACTGTTATGAATAGTAATGTAAATATCTGATATGCAGGATGTATTTTCATTGTTCGCGACCCACAGGTTGAGAACCGCTGGTTTAGTGGATTTTTAAAATAGACTTTATTTTTTAGAACCATTTCAGATTCATAGCAACACTGAGCAGAAAGCACAGAGATTTCTCATAGTTCCCCTGCCCCCACACATGCATAGCCCCCTCCATTTTCAACATCCCCCACAGAGTGGTATATTTGTTATAACTGAGGAACCTACACGGACACAGCATTATTACCCAGTATCACATAGTTTACTGTACATTAGGGCTCACTCTTGGTGTGTACTTTCTACAAGGTTTGGCAAATTTATAATGACATGTACCTATCATTATGGCATCATACAGAGCAGTTTCACTGTCCTAAAAATCCTTCGTTCTCTTGTCTATTCATCGCTCCCTCTCCTCTTTTAATGGATTTTAAGTAACTTAAGTCTGGCTTGTGGGTGGAAGTAAACATATGCTGCCAAAATCCAGGTCTACAGTTCCTAGAACCACAATATGAATATCCTAAGAGCACAGCCTGAGATCAACACACACACACACACACACACCTGACAGTTGATCTATGTATCTTTTAACCACCTTACAAATTTTGTTAAAATCCATGTTTAACAGTCCCAGGATAGATACCTATCTGCAACCAGAAACTGATCTTCTATTGAGATATCACTTTCACCAAAAATATTCAACTGCTGGCAGAGACTCAAGAATGAATGTGTCACTCTTAGGAATATACCCATGGAAAACGAAAACAGTCGTCCACACAGAAACTTGTACGAAAATGTTGACTGCAGCATAATTCCTAATAGCCAAGGAGTGGAAACAATCCAAATGTGCACCAACTGATGAGTGGGTAAACAAAATGCGGTGCATCTTATAAATGAAAACTATTTGGCAATAAAGAGGAATGAAGCGGCGATACATGCTTCAGTGTAGGTGAACCCTGACAACATTATGCTAAATGAAAGAAGCCAGTTTCAAAAGACCACATTTAAGTGAAAGGTGCAGAATAGGTAAATCCACAGAGACAGAAAGTAGATTAGTGGTTGCCAGAGGCTGGGGGTAGCGGGAAACAGGGAGTGAAAGAGAATGGGTTTCTTTTTGCGGGGGATGCATATGTTCTAAACCTAGTGGTGGGGATGGTTACACAACTCTGTAAAACCACCGAATTATCCTATTTAAAAGGGTGGGTTTTATGGTATGTGATTGTATCTCAATAAAACTGTTATAAAAATAAAAGACCAGAAGTGTGCCTGAAATGCAGTGTGGAGATGAAATACACTTCTACTGATCAAAAATGCCCTGTTCCAGTAAGGCCCACCATAGAGGTAAGCAGCTTAGTTTCATATTTCACACCCTATACCACACTCTCGGCAGGACGTGTCTAACCCTCTGGAAGGACTACCCGTCCTTGGAGGGTGTTTTTCTCGTTTCACGGGGAACGTTACTCCAGCTATTGGCTCCCCTCTCTCTCGACTTCACTCCCATCCCCACTCACCTGACCCTGCTCCCAGCCGCTGTCATGTTTCCCCTGGGTGACAGCAATCTCTTCCTCACCCCACCCCCGAATTTCCACATCCGTCTTTCTAAAATTCTACTCTCCTACTTTAAACCCTTCAGAGGTCCCCATAATTGAGACATTTCTACAGCACTGAGATTCTATTAGGGAAAAATAATGTATATTCAGTCAGGTAGTAAACGAACCAAAGGGGTCATGTGGCCCTTAATATTGAAGGTGCTTACAAATGCAGCCTTCAGGGACCCCAAACGGCACCTGTGCCTGCCTCCAGTGACTGCGGGAGTGGTAACACCCACCAAAGATCTCACTGGGTTTTGCTTTGTACCTGCCAACTTGGGCTGCTCTATCATAAGAATTGATTTAATTACCTATTTATGAAGTCGAGTTAAATTAGTTCAGAGCAGCCGTTTTCAAACGGTGTGCCGCACGAATTTTCAAAACATGCAATACCTGACTATTTAGTCAGGGGCACTGATCTCTTTTCCTTTGGATTGTCACATTAAAAAATGACAATAGCACAGTTCACCAGTGTTTAGTTTTATATTGAGGTGCTCAGGAAAAAAGGAAAAAAAAAAAAAAAAAAAAAAAAAAAAAAAAGACAATACTTGTCTGGTATGAATGAGGCAAAATTATATCTTTTTTTTTTTTGTCAGATCAGCAAAAAATACAATATTTTTGGTGTGCCACAGAATGCTAGTAATGCGTGCCAGGAGAAGGAAAGCTTGAAAATCAAGCTTTAGAGAAATGCCTGCTCAAGTAAGAACTGGACTAACAAAGAGATTTCTCAAGGAGACACATCCCCAAGGGCCAAGGCTTTTTGGATGCAAAATTATATCTTTTTTTTTTTTGTCAGATCAGCAAAAAATACAATATTTTTGGTGTGCCACAGAATGCTAGTAATGCGTGCCAGGAGAAGGAAAGCTTGAAAATCAAGCTTTAGAGAAATGCCTGCTCAAGTAAGAACTGGACTAACAAAGAGATTTCTCAAGGAGACACATCCCCAAGGGCCAAGGCTTTTTGGATACCTACACACCCGGCCATATATAGAAACAAGCCCAGAGCGTCAAACTGGGAGAAGCTGAAGTCAAAGTAGCTCATAAAACAGCAACATTTTGTTCCTTAGGTAGGAAGCACAAGCCAAATGAACAAGCAGATAGCAGGTCTTGGGCCATAACTTAAGTCTGTGGATGATTATAATTATTTATGACATGGTATTAATTACACTAATAATGTTGTCAGCTCACAGATTTTATTCAATTACATGGCTAAATGTGACTTTCATCCAGTCATATTCAAAATGTGTGCCCTTGCCTGGCTGCTGTGGCTCAATGGCTGAACGTTGACCCATGAACAAAGAGGTCGCTGGTTCGAGTCCCACTCAGGGCACATGTCCGGTTGCAGGATCAATCCCCAGTAGGAGGTGTGCAGGAGGCGGCTGATTAACGATTCTCTCTCATCATTGATGCTTCTATCTCTCTCTCCCTCTCCCTTCCTCTCTGAAATCAATAAACATATATTAAAAAAATGTTGTTTTTAAAGAAAAAAGGGGGTGTGTGGTAGAATACAAATTTGTGCTTACTAGTCCAAAGGTTCTTTTTGTATACATTCTAATGTTGTGTCATGTTTAAAAAGGTCCCATTTTTTAAAGTGTCACAGACATTCATGATTTATATTAATTTTACGTATATGTGCCATGCATAACTTCAGAAAAGAATAAAGTATATAACAGATGTCCATCCCTGCGTGTGTTGGGAGGAAGCAGGGGGAACAAGCTTTTCTTCACGTAGCTCTAATATGGTCCCTTCACGTCTGTACACAACAGACAGTGAGCAATAGCACAGAGCAGGTAGACTCCCATTACATGATAGTAGTTCATTGTGCCCCTCAGTAAATTCCAAAGCATACGTTTCTAGAGTCTCTTTGGGAAGAAGCCAAGGCAACGGCATACACATAAGCAGCTCTAATGGCAGGGAAACAGCTGCATCTATGTACCATGCATAACTTCAGAAAAGAATAAAGTATATAACATATGAAATATGACCGTGAAAAGAACAATGCAGAGTCAGAGAGCCAGAAACAGAGGCCAGGGGTCCTTGACCACAGACGAGCTGGAAGAGGGCTGGCATTTCTGTGACTGGAGGCTGTCCCACCTGCTCCTGGGAGGGAATCCCTGTCGAGGCAGCAAAGCTCAGGGGCTGGGAGCAAGGATTCTGAAACCCAGCATCACACTCAGCTCCTGTGGGACTCCCGGCACAATACCCTGTGCCTCAGTTTCCTCATCTGTCAGTAGGGAAAACAACAGCACTAACTTCAGAGGGTCTTTGAGAGCCCTGAAGGAGTTAGTGCTTATGAAAAGCTTAGAAACAACACCTGGCATACAGTATGCACTATCCATGTGTTAGCTGACTAAAACAGAGACCCGACCAGGGGTAATCGAGTGTACTAGTACTAGTTACGTCTTACGAAATGACTCTGGCTCTCAACTCCTTGTTCCAGACTCTGAGAAAGAGTGTGCATGTCTACCCATGTGTGTTGGGAGGAAGCAGGGAAAACAAGCTTTTCTTCATATAGCTCTAATATAGTCCCTTCACGTCTGTACACAAGAGACAGTGAGCAACAGCAAGACCAGGTAGACTCCCATAAGACATTACACGATAGTAGTTCATTGTGCCCCTCAGTAAATTCCAAAGCCTAAGTTTCTAGAGTCTCTTTGGGAAGAACTATGGCAATGGGGTCACATAAGCACCTCTAATGACAGGGAAATAGCTGCTCCAGACCGCCCCCCTCCCCTTATGCCCATCTCCCCAGCCCTGCTTCCAATAGGCTGAGGAGCGGCAGTTCCAAATTGGTGGGACAAGTTCTCTAACGTCAGGAAGTGACAAAAATACGGCCACATACCAAGTAAACCTGATGCGTTGAAAAGCGATTTCCCCCACGAGGCTGTGTTTTAAGTCTAAAGGACATGGGAGTCACTGTCTGGCGAAGGAACAGCCATAATCATCTCAGGGGATAAAACAGCTCAGAAAAAGATTCCCATTTGTCACAGTTACCTCAGGTTCTACCTAACAGTTACACGGGGGGCTTCCAATTATGAAAACTCTTGTGGTTCAGGCACATTCTATGGTAAGTTGGAAAACAGGTAACATTTTTTTAAAAGACTAGTTATTAGAGAACAAATCGTAGCTAAAAAGGGACCTTCGTTCCTTCGGATGTTCCCGTACTGCACGTGGAAGGCACGATGCAGCTGAGCTTCCGTGGCTAGTCCCCACGGCTGCGGATGAGCTGATGTCCCAGCAATGTGGCCACCTTTTTCAACCCATTGGCCAAAGTATGCTGCACTTAAGGCTAATTTTTTAAATAATTTTTCTTCAGATGAAATAGTGTTCATCTTAAAGTTGTTAATCAACTGTAGCAACGTATTTTCATTTTAATACTTGCGGGGTATCGCTAAAGCCACCAAAGAAAGAAGAAAGAGGTATCTCCACTTGCAGTTCACAGGCCTCAGCATTCCGCAAGGAAGGAGAGTGAGAGATGCACGTAAGATGAACCCTACGCACCCTGGGCAAACACCACCTCCTAGCCAGTGATGGCGAACCTATGACATGGGTGTCAGAGGTGACACGCAAACTCATTTTTTTGGTTGATTTTTCTTTGTTAAATGGCATTTAAATATATAAAATAAATATCAAAAATATAAGTCTTTGTTTTACTATGGTTGCAAATATCAAAAAATTTCTATATGTGACACGGCACCAGAGGTAAGTTAGGGTTTTTCAAAATGCTGACACATCGAGCTCAGAAGGTTCGCCATCACTGTCCTAGACCAGCCGTGGGCAAACTAGATGGATGATTTCAGGATAAAATAGTATCATGAAATGAATAAAACTAAAAAAAAAAAAAGACCGTACCCTTTTATGTAATGATGTTTACTTTGAATTTATATTATAGAGCCCCTTCATCAGCTCCACGTGGTTCCACATGTTTTCTCCACCATCACAGTTTGCTCCTTGTAATTATTTAATCAAGTACAGTGGGGCCTTGACTTACGAGTGTCCTGACTAACGAGTTTTTTGAGATACCAGCTGTCTCTCGGCTGATTTTTTGCATTGAGTTGACAGAGTAATTTGAGTTAAGGAGCTCCTTAACGAGCTCCTTAACGAGCTCGGTCTCGGAACGAATTAAACTCATAAGTCAAGGCCCCACTGTATTGGTAAAGCTTAACCTGTCTCTCTTCTGTCAGACTGCAAACTCCATGAGGGAAGCGACCACACCTGTTAGTTTTTCTGCTGTCTTCCTGGCACACAGCTGCCTGTGCACTAACTTCCTCTTTACAAGACAGCCAGCTGTGCTCCTGAGAAGTCCCAGGTGAGCTCCTTGCAAGGAAGAGGACATCACTGAAGCAATCTTACAAAGGAGGGGGAAGGGAAGGACGTGAATACTACAAAGCCCATGGATGCCTTGAAGGTTTTCAGAAGCAGATCTGAGAGAGGAGGAGGGAGAAAACGGAGCGGGAGGAATGACCCACTAATTTAGATGGATGATTTCAGGATAAAATAGTATCATGAGAACTCAAACAGTGTTTTCTAATTATAGACTTAAATTTAAAATATCTTGAAAGTTCACTCTGTACTTTCCTCTGCCTAATACAGGTTGCATTCAAAACATCCCAGAAATAAGATTTTTTTTTAAGTCCAGAGAGTAAGGTTGAACAACAGATTAAAATGCCCTGTATCTGGCAACCTCTGCTTTCTATAGTTTTTCTGTTGGGTCTTCCATGAAGAAACAACTGCCGATCTAATTCTTTCTTTCTTGACACAAAGTTGTTATTGCTACGCCTGGACTCCTAAAACTCCTTAGAGTGACATGAAGGTCATGTACAGTGAAACTTAAATAATTATTTAACTTACTGAAATGCTTTCAGACCTTCTGCAACAAAAGGAAATAACCCCTTTATACCTTTACAGTGAAAGTGCAAAAGTGTTTACTCTTATTGGTGAACAAAGAAACGCAAATCAAAAAAGCGAGCTACTATGTGTTGCATATTAAATCGGCGCCCCCCAAAATCATCAAGCTGCTCTCCAGGACTATTGGAAAATACATTTCTAATATTTTATAAGTACACTAAGAATGTGAACAAACATTAAGCTCTGAGTCTCTGACATTGTTAATAACAGTGAAAAACTGGAAATGACGAAGTGTCCAACAACAGGGGACTGCTTAAATTAATGGTGGGGGATGGATACAATGGAATATAAAACTACGTCTTTACCCAGTCTAGTGACAGGGACAAGTTCATGATATAGTCAGATGTACAAAACAATATATGTATGATCCTATTCTGGTTTTTTTTATTTCTTTAAACATATTTTTATTAATTTCAGAGAGAAAGGGAGAGGGAAAGGGAGAGAGAGATAGAAACATCAGTGATGAGAATCATTGATCAGCTGCCTCCTGCACACCCCACACTGGGATTGAGCCCACAACCCGGGCATATGCCCTGACCAGGAATCGAACTGTGACCTCCTGGTTCATAGATCGACCTCAACCACTGAGCCACACCAGCCAGGGGCTATTCTGTGTGGGGTTTTTTTTTAAGTTGTATGTGTAAGCATAAACATGCTGGAAAGATAATGCAAAATGAAAATGTTAACAGGTGATAGATGTGGGGGGCTGTTTCTCTCTTTTCCATGTCCCGCATGGAAAAGGAAACAGTCCATTTGCTGAGTGGAGGAGCTGGGGATTAAGAAATTAAAGAAAGACCAAGATGCAGAAATAGATTTTAAGCTGGGGCCAGGTGGGCGCCATCCTCTCTGATGGAGAGGCGGCAAAGCAAAAGTGTTTACTCTTATTGGTGAACAAAGAAACGCAAATCAAAAAAGCGAGCTACTATGTGTTGCATATTAAATCGGCGCCCCCCAAAATCATCAAGCTGCTCTCCAGGACTATTGGAAAATACATTTCTAATATTTTATAAGTACACTAAGAATGTGAACAAACATTAAGCTCTGAGTCTCTGACACTGTTAATAACAGTGAAAAACTGGAAATAATGAAGTGTCCAACAACAGGGGACTGCTTAAATAAATGGTGGGGGATGGATACAATGGAATATGAAACTACGTCTTTACCCTGTCTAGCGACAGGGACAAGTTCATAATATAGTCAGATGTACAAAACAATATATGTATGATCCTATTTATTCTGTTTTTTTAAATTTCTTTAAATATATTTTTATTAATTTCAGAGGGAAAGGGAGAGAGAGATAGAAACATCAGTGATGAGAATCATTGATCAGCTGCCTCCTGCACACCCCGCACTGGAGATTGAGCCCACAAACCCGGCATATGCCCTGACCAGGAATCGAACTGTGACCTCCTGGTTCATAGGTCGACCTCAACCACTGAGCCACACCAGCCAGGGGCTATTCTGTGTGTGTGTTTTGTTTTTTTAAAGTTGTATGTGTAAGCATAAACATGCTGGAAAGATAATGCAAAATGAAAATGTTAACAGGTGATAGATACATAGATGACTTAAGTTTTCCTTTTGCTTATCCAGGTTTAAAATTTTCTGAAATGAACATGAGTTGTTATTATCACTAACAAGTAAAAGAAAAGATGAGTTGAGAACTCCCAACACAAATTTTTAAGTATCAACTACCATATTAACAGTCTCTTAAAGAAGTTTATTGCAATAAGTACACAGTCTATTTAATATCATTATGTACTAAGGATAAAAATAGTAAACCTCATTTTTTTCATTTTGGTCACTATGTGTGGGGCGAGCAAATAAAAATACCCTGTCCTGAAAACTTAAAAGTTTTCTTTTCAGCAAGATGCCATGTGTGGTGATGTGGCACCAGGTAGCTAAAAGGTTAGCCTCTCTGGGTAAACAATAGCATAATTATATAGTCCATAAAATTAAAATGTACATATTTACTATGATTATTACTCTTGCTCAAATAAAATTCTCTCTTTGAAAATAAAAATGAAACTAGACATGGATAAATATGAATTAAGATAGAGACAAATTTGGGAGATGGGGATTATTAGAAATAGGGCTTCCAGAGAGAGTTCACCTCCGGTGAGGGAGAGGGGATATTTGGGAAGAAACAGAGTAATTCCTCAGGATATACATAAGTATTAGAAAACTTCAAGGACCCTGTAGTGTACACACCAGAGTAGGTTAACAGAATGAGCAGACTAGCTTATACCTGAGTAATTGAGCTAGAGCTAAACTTACGCTAACTCTTCAGCTCTTGCTTAGAAGTCTCCTGCAGATTCCCAGCCGTTCAGGTCTCTTGGTTCTGCCATACATTTCCTCAATTTTTTATTTTTTCTCTCCTAATCTTTCGTTGTCTTAAGATTTCTAAGAGGCTGTTTACTCGAGCCTCCTCACTAGTTATCAGCAGTTTGCTTCCATTTTATGAGAAGCTTGTTTTAGAAAAGGAATAATCTGTACTTAATTATAAAAACTTTATTTGGTTTACCTCATCCGTTATTACCCACATCAGACACCCTCACCAAACAGGTTTCCAACGTTCCTTCTATGCAACCTCAAACAGATTACATACTGGCTTATTTGCATAACTCTCTCTATCACAAAGCAGCATCTTTTAATTGAGGTCTTCTTTTAAGCCTTGGAGGAAGGATCATGTTTAGAGAACAAAATGCGAATCAAGAAAGTTAACTTTCAGGACTCCAAAGAGCTATTTGGTGTCCAAATAAAGGAACATTAAAGTACCAAGAACAACTGAAAAAGAGGAAGAAGAAAGAAGGAAGGTAAATGAGGGGCACACTAGAAGTCTGTGCAACTGAACCTTGAGCGAAACAAAGAAAGATGAAGCAAAGCGCCCAAAGGCCTGAAATGATGGACACATTTCAGGGATAGGGGTCAGAGGTGAGCGGCAAGATTCAAACCAGAGCTCGGCTGCTGGGGGAGCCCAAGGCATCTTTCAGGGTCTAATGGACCATCCACAAAATGGATGATGATGGTGACCAAATGAACAGGCAGCCACGTGCTTTCATTCTGAGCTTTTAAGCCATGTGTGGTCAGAGGCTGTACCTCAGGATACGGGAAGGAACAGTTTAAGGAGTAAACATTATGAATGCCATTATTAATAACCATACTACTCTCTTGCTTTCAGAGTACAACCCACAGGCCTTCGATAGCTAACATACCATGATCTCAGAATATGGCACCTTTAAGAGAAGGGTGAGCTTGAGCAGCACATGGAAAAAGAACCCTTGAGGTCCTCCCCCAACGCAGCGGTTCTCAACCTGTGGGTCGCAAACAATGAAAATACATCCTGCATATCAGATATTTACATTACGATTCATAACAGTAGCAACAAAATTACAATGAAGTAGCAACGAAAATAATTTTATGGTTGGGGGTCACCACAACATGAGGAACTGTATTAAAGGGTCGCGGCATTAGGAGGGTTGAGAAGCACTGCAAGTGTCTAAGGTAGAATTCTGATTCATCCTTGTAGAAAGGTTTACAGATAGCAAATACTGTAATCCCAGTTTCCCATCACACTTCTGAACAGACACAAATGTATAAAGGAAAGGCAAGCATGTGCACTCTCTCCAGTGAGGATATACACACTCATGTTTCACTTTTCATGGTACTTTGTTTTTTTTTTATTTTATTGACTTTTTAGAGGCGGGGCGTGGGGGGGGTGAGAGATGGAGAGAGAGATATCGATTTGTTGCTCCACTTATGTAAGCATTCATTGGCTGATTCTTGTATGTGCACTGACCAGAGATCAACCCCATAACTTTCCCATATCAGGACCACACTAACCAAATGAGCTCCCCAGCCAGGGCTAAACAGTCACTTTAACAGACCCAGCGAGCGGAAAGTCAGTAGGGACACAGGAGAACTCACCAACACAATCAATCAACTGGACTGAATTGACATCTATAAACTACTTCATCCAAAAACAGCAGAATACACATTCTTCTCAAGCGCACAAGAAATTTCCCTATGATAGACCATATTCGGAGCCATAAAACACACCTTAATAAATTTAAAAGAATGGAAATCATGCAGTGTCTTCTCTGAGACCACAGTGGAATTAAACTAGAAATCAGATAGCTGGAAAAGTCCAAAATACCTGGAGATTACACACTCCTAATTAATACACTGGTCAATGAAGAAATCTCAAGAGAAATTTAAAAACAATTTGAACTCAATAAAAAATGAAAATGCAACTTATCAAAACTTTATGGATGTAGAAAAAGCAATGCTTGAGGGCAATTTATAGCAGTGAATGCATATATTAGAGAAGAAAATCTAAAATCAATAATCTAAGTATATACCTTAGGAAACTAAAAAAATAAAAGCAAATTAAATGCAAAGGAAGTAGAAGAAAAATAACGATACAAAATTAGAGCACAAATCAATGAAATTGAAAACAGGAAACCAACAGAGAAAAATCAATGAAACCAAATGCTGGCTCTTTGGAAAGATCAATGAAATCAATAGGCAAACTAACTAAGAAAAAAAGAAAGAACACACAAACTACTAATATCAGAAATAAAAGGGAGGACATCACTACAGATCCCATGGATGATAAAAGGTTAATAAAGGAATGCTATGAACATCTCTATGCCCACAAAATTGAAAATATAGATGAAATAGACCAATTCCTTCAAAGACACAATCTGTCAAAACTCACACAAGAAACAAACCATCTGAATAGGCCTATAGCTATTAAAGAAATTGAATCAATAATTAATAAGCTTCCAAAACAGAAAGCACCAGGCCCAGATGGGCTCACTGGTGAATGCTACCAAACATTTAAGGAAGAAATTATACCAGTTCTCTACAACATCTTTCAAAAGATAGAAACAGGGAGACTACTTCCTAATTCACTCAGTGAGGCCAGCCTTACCCTAATACTACACCAGGAAAAAAAATTACAAGAAAACTACAGACCAATATCTCTCATGAACAGATACAAAAATCCTCAACAAAATATCAACAAACTGAATCCAACAGTGTATGAAAATAATTATACACCATGACTAAGTGAGATTTATACCAGATATGCAAGGCTGATTAAACACTTGAAAATCCATTTTTGTAATCTTATCACTTCAACTAAGTCTAAGGGAGAAAACTCACATGATGATATCAACAGAGGCAGAAAAAGCATTTGATAAAATTCAGCATCCACTCATGATAAAAACTATTAGTAAACTAAAAAAAGGTGGGGATTGCCTCAACTTGATAAAAAAAAAATATCTGCAAAAAAACCTACAGCTATTATCAGACATAATGTTGAGAAGCTCACCAAAGATATACAGATGGCAAATAAGCTTACGAAAACATGCTCGGCATCATATGTCACAGGGAAATGCAAATTAAAAGAACAATGAGAAACCAGTACACCTATTACAATGGCCAAAATCTGGAAAACTGACAACACCAAATGCTGGTGAGGCTGCAGAACAACAGGAACTCTGGTGGAAATTCACTGCTGGTGGAAATGAAAAATGAGACAGCCAGTGGCATAAAAACACTGTCTGTACTTTCTGCTCAATTTTCTATAAACCTAATACTGATCCAAAAAATAAGGCCTATTAATGTACAAAAAAGTACTTCTCATAATTACCTAGAAACACATTCATATTTAAGATTGCAATTATTTTTTCAAAAATAAAAATGAGAAATACTCCAAGTATTGTGATTTAAGCTGTAGAGCAACACTCAAACATTAATGGCAAAGCAGCGCTCAGTTATGTCCTTTAAGAACAAATGACAATGGCCTTGGCCAGCGTGCCCAGTGGTTAGAGCATTGGCCTGTGCACTAGAGGATTTCAGGTTCGATCCAAACCCTTACTGGCGCATGTGGGAGGCAACCAATCAATGTCTCTCTCACATCAATGTTTCTCTCCCTCTCTCTCCCTCCTCCCCCCTTCCACTCTCTCTAAAAATCAATGGAAAAATAAAAATAGCCTCACTCTATAGATGAGGATTAAAACACACACACACAAATGACAATTTGCTCAAGCACAACCATTGATCTAAATTCGCCTTATAATTCAAAAGCACTTAAGGCTTCTAAATGTAGAGAACATTCTAAACACTGCTTAATGTTGATGAAACAACATCTGTGGTCAAGGCAACACTTCTATTTGTGCTGTGACATGTTCAGATCTGTAATTCCATCGTTGCCCCCACAGGTTTTCATATTCTATGTCCATATTCACTCCAGCAGACATGAAGGCGATGCTTTGTATACCAGATGGCAGGGCACATCCTATGCCTGCTGACATTAAAGGCTTTATTCAGCATGCAGCACAAGCACATATAGGGAGGGGCTTAGCACCAATCTATTATGTGCCATCAGCAAAACTGTACCCTGATGAAACTACACGTAAGATCTGCTTTGCTTCCAAGATGACATCTTTACAACATCCCTTCAGAGTATTCTCACAGCCAAAGGCTCCCTTTCATGGAGCTCCCTAAGTGACAGGTTCCCAAGCCTGTGCCTCAAGGAACCAACAGCCTTGCTATCAGCTAAGAAGATGAAGCTAACATGAAATGTATCTGCCAATAAGACAGAAATCTGACTACAGAAACAATGGCCGGGTCCCAAAAGATATTTTTCTGCCATTTGCAAAGTTCCATGTGATGTTAAATTAAAACATCTCAATTTCAAACAGCCTTCTGAGGGCTTCTGCGGATTCTATCTGTAGTTCATAACTACACGGGGAAACTGGCTGGTCACCCAAACGCCTTTTGTAAAGTAGCGCTCCACTGCACAGTAATTTTACTCTTCAGTCCCAATCCAAAGGGTATAGGGTGTTTGAGCGTTTTCCTGTGAACGCAGCCTTAGAAAGGATGCGGACCAAGGACTAGATCTCAGAGCTCCACCTCCAGTTTTCCCTTGTAGTCACACCCTCAGCTTCTTCTGCATCTCACTGACAACTGCGTCCATGGCAATTCCCCGCTGACACTACACTACTTCCACAACGTCCACTTCCAGAAACAATATTTAGAAACTGCTAGTAATACTCATGGCTTATAAACAAATAGTTAGTAATAAAGCCGGCTCATCAGAGAGCTTTATTTATTAAATTCTGGTTATGTTTAAAGAGTCAACCCAAATTCTCTTTAGAATATAAATAAAAATATTTTTTGAGGGCAAGTGATTCAAAAAAAGCATTTTGTCACCTGGTCAGTGTGGCTCAGTGGTTGAGCATTGACCTATGAATCAGGAGGTCACAGTTGGATTCCAGGTCAGGGCACATGCCCGGGTTGTGGGCTAGATCCCAGTAGGGGCATGCAGAATGCAGCAGATCAGCAATTCTCTCTCATCATTGATGTTTCTATCTCTCTCTCCCCCTCTCCCTTTCTCTCTGAAATCAATAAAAATATATTTTTTTAAAAAGCATTTCGTCGCCCCAGCTGGTGTGGCTCAATGGATAGAGCACTGGCCTGCGGACTGAGGGGTGTCCCGGGTGATTCCAGTCAAGGGCACATGCCTGGGTTGTGGGCTTGATCCCCAGTAGGGGCCTTACAGGAGGCAGCCAATCAACGATTCTCTCCCATCATTGATGTTTCTCTCTCTCCCCCCTCTGAAATCAATAAAAAAATATATTTTTTAAAAAAGCATTTTGTCAATCTTTCCTTCTTTTTCAGTTTTATGTCAGAAGATGTCAAAGGAGTCTTAGAATTCAAAAATACCCAGTTAATTACTTATATAAAAAAGTATGTACGCAACCCTAAGTTTTACAAATAGCATTTTAGAAATGTTTCAAGTACATCATTTAAAACAAACAAACAAACAAAACCAGCCTCATTTCCTTATTGATGATGGCAGAGTAGGGCAGGGGCTCAACTGCTTGTGCAAATGGGGTAAAAAATGAACACAAATGAGCCCTGGCCAGCGTGGCTCAGTTGGGTGGAACATTGTCCCATGCACAAAAAGACTGGGTTCGATTCCTGGTCTAGTGGAGGCGAGTGTGGGAGTCAATCTCTCTCTCCCCCGCTTCTTCCCTCCCTCTTTAAAAAAAAAAAAAAAGGAACAGAAATGAAATTTAGGGACTGACATCATATATTACCTTTATTTTGTCTTTTCTATTAAATCATTTAGAAAGGACTTTTATAAATTTTATCCTTCTGGCTGCTGTTTCATAATTTTTCTGCTCCATGCTTGCCTACTAAAGGCAATTGATTTGTTAAGAAGGAAAACAATACAACAAAAAAGAAAGATTAAAAGAAGGGGGAAATGTAGTTTACATTACACCACTGGGTATGTGACTAATGGTCGATGGAGAAACAATAAAAGGAAGCAATCGCTGTAAAATTTATTAAGTCTGTTCGACAGACTGGGCCTACCTCTAAAATTCATTGACTGCACAACTGAAAATTAAAAGACAGTTCATTAAGATAAGTACTCTTTTTTTAAAAATACATTTTATTGATTTTTTACAGAGAGGAAGGGTGAGGGGTAGAGAGTTAGAAACATCAATCAGCTGCCTCCTGCACACTCCCCACTGGGGATGTGCCCGCAACCAAGGTACATGCCCTTGACTGGAATCGAACCTGGGACCCTTAAGTCCACAGGCCGATGCTCTATCCACTGAGCCAAACCAATCAGGGCAAGATAAGTACTCTTTACTCCAGTTTCCATCACTGTTTGCCAAATAACCAGAACTAGCTTCATCTAAATTCTCTCTCACACACATATTAACACACAGAGAAAAAGATCCAGAATATAGCTTCCTTCAAATATATTCCTGCATTCCTCCCAACATAAAATATATAACATGAATTATCCTTAACAAACCCATGTCTTTTAGACGTGTATAATCTCCACCTTAATGATAGAAGAATCTCAGTGATAAAGAACCATTATCATCCCCCTAATTTCCTTCTCCAAAAAGTTACTAGTACTCTATATCTTTAGTTTACTTTTCTTTTTGGTGCCTACAAAGTTATTTCTGCAAATAAATGTTATGCTGCTTCTGAAATAAAGAAACCATTATGAGTCAGGTTTTTCCTTTTTATCCCTTGTCACAATTGTCATCGCACTTCAGAAATGTATGGGATGAGTCTGCCAAATTAATCTTCCTAAGTTTGCAACTTTGCGACGTCCAATACACCCTGAACTCCTCCCCCTGACAATCACCGCCTTCCTGAACCTGGTCCTTTCCGGAGTGTCCTGGAAATGGCACCAAACTGGATTAAAGACACTAATGAATCGCCACCTTTCCAGCAGGGGCGTGCAGAAGGCAGCAGATCAATGATTCTCTCTCATCATTGATGTTTCTATCTCTCTCCCCCTCTCCCTTTCTCTCTGAAATCAATAAAAATATACTTAAATATAAAATTAGACTAACTACACTATTTAAGGATTTTTCATGCTTTACTTTTATTCTACCCCTCCCAACCTCATGGCTGATTTAAAAAAAAAAAAGTGCCATGTTAAGTGGCATCATCTATTACTACTGCTGTCCCTACTAGAGATGGTCTCCATCTCAAGGAACTTAAAATCCAGTTGAAGATCCAAAGACACTAGATTAAACCCAACAAAAGTCTATTTCTGATTGTCCCCAAACAAGCCCCACAGACAATAACTGGTAGAGTGTGCATTCTCCATGGTGAAAATTGGTGCTCTAAAGGTGAAAAAAAAAATGGTTTGTGATCTTCCAAAAGACATTATAATTTAGGGGGGGCGGGGACAGAGCCCGAGGGGATAGGAAAACCGGTCTACAAAGACAACAATGAAAACGGAATGTTGAGAAACACTGACAGAGAAATCCACAGTGCACTTTATATTTGCTACTAATTGGCTAAATTACCCGGAACAAATTACCTAACCTAGCCTCACCTGATACACGACCAACAGCATGGATTTTTTGCTTGGATTCCAACTACATCTTCTCATCCTTCTCTTCTCAAGTTTAATGTTCCTTCCTCAAAGAGGTCCTTTCCTGACCACTGTCTAACATAGGTCTCCCCCATGTTTTGCTCTCTCAGATCTGATCCACTTTCTCAAGCTGTGGTTATGGGCCTGTTTCCTTTTTTCACTGGCTGTCTCCCACACGGGGCCGCGGGCTCCACGAAGGGGAGGACCGTGTCTGTTTGTGTACAAGAGTACACCCAGCCTGGCACAGAATAGGTGCTCGCTGGTTCTTGCCAAGCCCTTCCTCTTCACCAACTTTTATTCTCTTGATATACCAAAGGGTGGGCCAGGACCCTTTTCTAGAGATTAACCCCAAGAGATGGTCTCCAATCCCAGCAATTCATTAACTCTTACTTTCATTTAAAACCACTTCAAGGTCTCCAGGTCCCAGAGCATAACCTATCAGAATTTTCTCCAAAATCTATGGTCAACTATAAACATTTTAGGATTTTTAGAGTTTTTATAATAATAACCTTGATATTAAGGGGGCTGGGATGGGGAAAGAATATTTTTTACATGTAAAATTGAATATCAAAATGACATCTTTTACTCAAGAAGTCCAAGAGTTTGAAAGACCTTTCCTTAATTCCAGTGGCTGCTGTTCCTCCCTTCAGGTGGCTGAGCTGCTAATCGAGAGAAGAGGCCATGGAACGGTCTAGGATATACACCATCCACAGGCAGGGGGAAAACGGATGTGAACGAGAGCTGAGCAAGTACACTGGGCAGAGGGAAATCAAACTAGAGACAGGGCGAGGCATTTCAAGTCAACAGCAAACCTTTTTGCCGCCCTGGAAATAGCTTCTGCCCACTTAGGAGGAGCCGGGTCAGGCATCTTTACAGTGAAACACATCTTAGTGAAAATGTAACATGAGGAGATGGGAAGATGACAATTCTTCTGACTTGCCTACAACAACAACTATGTGTCTTTCTACAGCAGCGGTTCTCAACCTGTGGGTCGAGACCCCTGTGGGGGTCAAACGACCCTTTCACAGGGGTCGCCTAAATACAGCCTGCATATCAAATATTTACATTACGATTCATAACAGTAGCAAAATTACAGTTATGAAGTAGCAACAAAAATAATTTTATGGTTGGGGGTCACCACAACATGAGGAACTGTATTAAAGGGTCGCGGCATGAGGAAGGTTGAGAACCACTGTTCTACAGCATCAAGATATTTGGCAAGTTCTAAACTATGTTTAGTTGGAAAAAATATATACACACATATATACACATATGTGTGTATATGTATGCATATAAGTATATAATTCGCTAATATCCTTGTCTAGATATAAAAGTTATGTGGATTAAAACAAAAAATACTTCATTCCCTCAGTACTCTATTAAATGTGGCTTTTTTAAAAAAATGTAAGTTAGATCTTATTTTTTTATTCATTTTAGAGAGGGGGGGTAGGGGGAGAAAAAGAGGAAGGGGGAGAGGGAGAGAGAGAAACATCGATGAGAATCAAGCTTGCAACCCAAGCATGTGCCCTGCCCAGGAATCAAACCGGCAATTTAGGTGCACCTGATGATGCTCAACCAACTGATCCACACCAGCCAGAGTAGTAAAGTTTTTTTTTTTTAAAGGTTTTAAGAAATAAATTTTAAAAGATGAAATCTACAAAACATTTTGTCCCGACGAGGCAACATCCTATTAAACAAAGGATATTAAAAGATAGTCCATGTTTAAAATATGAAATTAATCTCTAATAGGACCAGAAGCTTAAGTAAATATTTTCTTTAATTAAGAAAAGCAATCCTTTCTAAAAACATCAGTCGATCCCATATAGACATTTCTGCACCACGGTCTCTAGTATCACTTAGTTATTTTTGCTACTAGGAAACATTTGCACAAAAACAAAATTAAAATCCTCCTCTTGCTTCTATTCTTCCACCTAAAGGAATAAGCTCCATTGTTAGCAATACACTTAATAGCTCCACAGCAACTGGTATAATTGGGGTGTTGCAACAGGAGGATAACGAAGTGGAAAAACAAAGCGATATTCGTGTAGAAGAAAAAGACACTTCCACACAGCCTTGCTGGGAAAATACCTACCAAGGGGGGCAAAAAAGGAGAACTTGATAAAAAGCACCCTTTTGAGGTTGCTAAGGACAGTTGCTACCAGGCCTTTAAGACATTTAAGTATGCAATGGGGCAAATCCAGTTTTGAAAATGGTGAAATGTATGAAGTAACTGCAGTGACTTCA